CCCAAAAAAAAAAATACTCAAAGTCCATATCACTAAAGAGCTCACCCAATGCCCCTCCATTACTTGAACTCCATGCTCAAGTAAACCCTTACTCACTCAATACCTACTACCCTAACTCAAATATATATTTAAAAGAAACTAACAACTGTATGAAGCACACATATTACATGAGTGGAGTTATCCTAACAACTTTTAAGAATGATATTACCTAACACAATATAGGACATGTGCTGTAATCTAAATAAATAAACCGTAAATTATAGAAAACTCCCTTAAACTATTACCTATTTACATTTTGCTCACTTGAATTTCAAAACGCAACAGTTAACTCTCTCAAAATATTATCTTAACCTTTTTTGTTAGGATTTTGTTATGAATTTATAAAAAATTAGATCATGTATAAAGTACATGACACATTTGTTAAATTTGTATGGCAATAATGCCCTTATCTGGCGATCTCATTTGCATGTTATCACTAAGATAAGAGAGACAATGTGCAAATGAAATCACCAAATAAAAGTTTTGACTATATTTGGTTTGGTTTTTAGAAACTTGTTTCAGAAATTTTTTCTAAAAAATTAAAAAATAATTTTGTGAAAAAATGAAAAAAAATGAAAATAACTTATCATTTTTATGTAGTTTTATTTTTTTTGGATGGAAAAAATAATTTAAAAAATTTTAAAATATATTTTTATTTTAAATATATAATTTTTATTTTAAATATTTTATTTTATTTTTTTCATATTTTTATATATTTTTTAATTTTTTAAAATATTTGCTCACAAATTTTTTACTTTTTAAATACATCTGATATCTAAAAAATAAAAAAAAATTGCTTAAAATTTAAAAAATATTCACTAAAAATAAAAAAATACGAAAAACAAAAAACTCAATATTCAAAAAAATTAATTCAAAAAACTCAAACCAACCGCACACTATCATTTTTATAGTAACTGTTTAAAAATTTAGAAACCTTTTCCTAAAAAAATGGGAACTTTCAAAAAAATTATTGAAAGTAGTCTTCAGAAATAATTTACCAAACAAGCTTTTCATGTCAATTTCTATTTTCAAAAACAGAAAATAGAAAATAAAAACAAAGCCAAACACGCACACACGTCCCGCGTGTGGGAGGGTTGCAACCTGCAAGAACCAGGCTTCAAACAACAATGCTACATACCACTAAATTCCTACCACCAACGCCACCACTAATGATGTGGCAAGTAAAAAAAAAAAAAAAAAAACAGAGACACAAAACACATGTGACAGTGGATGGGACCCACTGCCACATTCCTAGTGCAACCACTAATTAGTGGTCTGCATCATTTTTCGACTTCAAAGCTTTAAACTTTTAGAGTACATCCTTCCATGGTGCAACTAGAATTATATGAGTATAAATTGGACATGAGTATGATTTGCAATGAAAGACAATAGCAAGGTCAAACCCATATGTGCATATATATAACCATAGACTGAAATTACACAACCACCACAGTTTCAACTGAAATTACAGTTCACAGTTGTGACACAGAACACAAATCAGAGTCCAGGCAAGATCTGAATATTTGAAAACTAGGATACCTCAAAAAAAGCATTTCTTCCTCTTGTAAAAACCCCACAAAGCACATGACAGCTACAATCCTAGAAACAGAAAGCCAAAAGCATGAAAAATAAATATATATAAATTAAGGAGATAAACCTAATTACGAGAAGGTTAGACAAAAGAAGTAGCTCCCTTACCTGCAAATAGAGAGCCAACAAGACACGGACAAGCTAGAGATGAGAATGCAAGTACACTGTAACATCACTTCACCAACTTACTTTTAGCATTAGGTTTCATCTTTTGATTGGGAGCCCCGTCCTCAGAAAATCTAATACAGAAGAAATAAAATAGCCTAAAATCAATATGATATGCTTACCACGACGAATAAAAGTAAGTAACCAATTAAGCTAATTATCATCTTACATGGAAACCAGATTTAATGATGATATCAACATGTTGAAAAATAAAACCTACAATTCACTTGTTTACAGTGAACTGTTTCCTGTTCGAGAAAGTTTTTTCATTTTAAATGAGTAACCAAAAACTGCTCATCTAGTAGGGTTTAAATAAAAGAAAGGAACTTGAGAAAAGGTATCCACAATAGGGTATGATCATCTGACTTTCCGTATCTGCACAAATATTTTAGTTCAAGGTAAAACTGGCATTCCCTAGATAATAATAGTAATGATATGAATAACAAGAAGACCAACTATGGAATTTACAACATGGGGTTTTCTAGCAGTCAATCAAGGTAAAAGTTGTTTCCCAAGTAAATCAGGAAAGGCACGGTGACAAGCTATTCCCATGTATATCTTTGATTCCAATGTAAATAAGCTGAAACTACAAGAAACCTAGGGATAAACTACTTTAAATGGAAAGTTCTTGAAAAAGTATGCAACAAAAAAAAAATCCATTTGTTAGCTTTTTCAATTTTTCAATCCACAAGCTTTGGAGGAAATTCTTGAGACTGATACACCTACAAGAAGTGAAACTGACACAACATGGTAAGGACCTAATAAATCTTGCAGCTTCAACTTACAATTCTGCCATTCTCTTTCTTTTATCAGAACCAACATATGCCCTTAGCTCTTCAATACTCATATTGCCAAAACTGCCATTGGGATTACAATTCAGTAAATTGCACCTATCTAGAAAAGTGGAAGATTCAACCAAGCTTGGAATGACTGATGAATCCTTTAGTTCTCCTTTAAGATGCTCCATCAAAATGAAACCTGTTAGAGATAACATTTCAAACCAAACAAGTCACGAGCTACAGTAAATAATCAAGATAATCAAATGTCAATTAAACCAAGCTATAACTGAGTCAAAATAAAAGTGAGTTCATGGCTATAAAAGTTGGAGAATTATTAGATTCCTAATCTCTGCATATTGAGCTGAAGCAAATGCCTAAAACTAATCAAAGCTTTTCAAGTGGCAATGTGCAGGGTTCACAACCCATCCGAAGTTGAGCTTTTTACTTATGCACTTTTGAATTTGACCACAGGAGAACAGGGATAAACGAAACTTGATTTCCAAGAACCCTACAGGTTATTAACATTCAGTGCTCAACAGGTGCAAATATAGCCTTTTGCTCATCAGCTCTCTCAAATTTCAGAACCATCTGAGTCTTGTGCCTAAATTGTAGCATTACCTCCTACCCTGACTCATCTCAATATCATTTCAATTATTATAATTCAATTTTTTATAATACTTAACAAGAATTGTTTTGGGGAAATTACATGGGAAGTGGGAAAATCATTTACCAAAAGGTGGGGGTGCAACTTTTGGTGTGGTTTCATTGCACATAAAAAGTTCCACCTGCACCGCAAAAGTCACACCCCCCATGAGTTTGTAATAATTTTAGGTCTTCAACATTGTAATTTCCCCAATTGTTTTACCCATAGGCATGGTTGTCAAATCGCGAATCGAATTGTAAATCGTTCTGTTAAAATTTTGAATCGTTAATCATATTGAATCGTGAATCGTAACATTCACTTTTTTTATTAAATATATTTAAATACATATTGTATGTACATATAATGAAGTTTTTATACTTTTTTTTTTTTATCAGTAATGAAGTTTTTATACTTACTAATACAATTTTTAATTTTTAATAAGTAATTATAAATTTTAAAGTTAATTAATTAATATTCAAATGCCAGCAGGGTCACTTCTATTTAACCTGCACTTTTTTTAACACCAACAGTGTGTTACCCAAAAATAAAATCTTGAACCAAGAGTCCTACTATATTATCTAAGCAACAACTGTCATATAGCTTTCTTGGTTAACAACTATTTTCAACAGAACCTATGTTAACAACTGTCATATAGCTTTCTTGGTTAACCTAAATCAACTGTCATATAGCATATGGCTCTCTAAAAACTGTCATATAGCTTTCTCCCTCTCTCTTACTAGAAACATGCTTTACGTCTACCTGCAAAAAAAAAAATTATGAAATTTTTTTTTGAGTCATAAAATACAAAAAGAAAAAAGAAAAGAGGCGAGAGATAATAGAGTAGAAGAGTGAAGAGGGCATGCATAGGAGATGCATACCTAATGGAAGGAGATGGTCTGAAGACACTGGAGAATAGGTATGCTGATTTCTTCTCTCTTCTTCTGCATCTCTTTCTCCGATCTAAGCTACTGCTTCTTCTTCTTCTGTTTTGTTTTCAGACTCATTTGAGTCATGGGTTTGATCTAAACTAAAAATCTGGCCATCGATCGAACAGAAAGAAAGAAAATCACACCTTTTCTTGTGAATTGCGTGAATCATTCAAATCGTGCGATACTCACGATTCTGTGCGATATACACATTGAATCATGCGATTCAGAGATATTTCCGATTCAAACCTGCGAGTCGTATCATGTAGCATGAAAATCGTATCGAATCGTATGAAACAAATCACGACTCGTATGATTCTAACAACCATGCCCACAGGTTACCATGGTACTTACCAATCAGTCCTATTAACTCGACTTATTTATCTATAGGTCCTGGCTGATAAATTTATCACTGTAAATTTATTCATAAAAACAAGAGAGACTAATAAATTAATCAAGTGATAAATTTGCCAATAAGACTTAATGGGTAATTTTCCAAAAGTAAAACCTATTGGTAATTTACCCAAGATGTAATGTGGCATCCACCAACTTGGAAATTCATTTCTTATCAATACTGTACCGTCATTCCGAGGTGGATCACACCAATACGCATACTATAGGTATATGGGTCCCACAAGACTTTCCACGTAAGCATCGCTAAGGGGATAGTCCCTACAACCATACCCACTCAGCTCGATTCAAGACTTGCACTCTGATGCTATACAACCTACCTAATCGGGTGCATGGCCTAGAAACCCAAAACAAGGTCACCTAAACTAGTTAATTGAAAGCATCATCGGAGCTGTTTCGGTGGCCCCACACAGACCAATCTTAGACGAGAGAGAGAGAGAGAGAGAGACCTCACATGGAGCCAATATGGGTTAATGGGCCCACACCTTTATTGGACTTGGTGAGCACACCCAGCAAACCTTTCCATGGCCTTTTATAGCCTTTTTACCCTCTATATAAAGGGAGCTCACCCTCTCCATATGAGAGACCATACCATTCAAGGTTTTAAAAAGCAGCCGCAACCGTTACGTAACGCCGTTACGTAACGGTTGTGGTGGTTACCGCCACCTGTTACGGCCGCTTTTGCAGTATGATTGAGATTCACAGATGTGTCGGCCGTAGCGGCTGCCGTAGTGGTCGTAACGGTGTCGTAACGGCTTGTTATGCACCATTACGTAACGGTTCCGAACTCTTCTTTCGAAAAAACACACAAAAAAAAAAAACTAAAAATGGGAGAAGAGGGAGAGAGAGAGGAGAGGGAAGATGGAAGAGTAAGAGATAGAGAGAGAGAAGAGGGAAGATGATGAACATGTCATTGATTTGTTGAATCTGTAAGACCTATGTTATTCTATTCAGCTGCTATCACTCAACCATTTTGTTTGTGTGTGTCTGTCTATATATTATTTGAAAATAATAATAATAATAATAATAATAATTGTGGTCATTATCCATTTGACTTAATTAAAATATGTATATATATATATATATTTAGGCTCTTGTTTATTCTCTTACTTTTGTCATTGTTTATCTAATATATAATAGTTAGTGATTGATTTTTTGTATAATATAAAGTCATTAATTATTAAAATTATAATAGTTAGTGATTGATTTTTTGTATAATATAAAGTCATTAATTATTAAAATAAAATATAAAAAAAACAGTTTATAGTGATTTAAAAATATGAAATATATTGGATCATACTTAAAAAAATTACAAAAATTGATCAATATTTATTTTAAAACCCAATAAATATGATCATGGAAAAAAAATATGCGTATTGGTAAAAAAAAATTCAAATTGTGCGAAAAATTAAAAAAAATTCACGATTCCGGTTACCGCAACCGTTAAACTACAACCTTTGCATCCCGCAACCGCGCCACCGCCACCGTCACGGCGACTGCAACCGCTTTTCAGAACCTTGATACCATTCCTTCGTAGAACCATATCTCCCTCACCCCCAGCTCATTGAGAGGCTTCACCTCAATTGTTACAGCCACTCACTCTCTCTACTAAGGCTGTCTCAACTATTTCCCTGTCCACCCCTTGTGGCCTTGTGCCATTGTTTTCTAACATGATTCCCTGAAGGTAACCTCCAACAATCCATCCACAGCCTCATTTGTAAGTTGTAAGGCAATTCCTTACTTTTCATTAGACTCTGCTTGCTTTGCAGAAATATCAGGTGGGAAAGTGATTATTGAGAAAATCAACTGAAAATTTGGTATAAGTTTTGGACTTGATAAACAAGTAACTGGTTGATTTTGTTTCTAGTGTTTGTTGTACTTGCATCTTGATCAGTAAAATGGAGTAACTTTATAGAACACTACAATTGTGAGGCTAGAGGTTTTCAAGAGAACCATCAATATATAACCAAACATTGGCAAACGAAAAAGAAAAAGTTAAGAAAAGAAAAGAAAAGAAAAGGGAAGAAATTTACAAGGTATTAATTTGACCAATAGAACTCGCAAACCCTATGATGGATAAATTATTATATGCATTAGATATTACATGTTTACAAATAGAACATAATGTATACAAAATGACTTCAAGAAACCAAGTTAGAACAGATTTGCTATCAGTGTGGCACAGTATCTTTTATAATAATAATATGACCTAAAATTTCTGATCAATGTAACTGTGTTGGAATCAGACTAATAATAATAACAAATGGGTAAAAACGAATTGGCATTCTTAAATGGAAGGTATATGAACAGGGAAGAATATACATACTAAGCACTCGAAGCATCTTCAAATCAAATTTCTTTGCCAGAGCCTCATGCCCAATTACTTTTGCCCGTCGGAGAACTAGCATTTTTAAGCTACTCAGCATGTCCTGACAATATAAGGAACATATAATGGATACATAAAAACACTATGAAGAATACAAAGGAGTTGCAATTTTCATTTTTGTGGGACAATGGAGTAAAGTAAGTTTTACACGTACAAGCTCTGACTCAGATAGGGAACAGAGCCAACAAACATCTTCAATTCGGTTATCTTGCAAAAGATCTTCTTCAGCCATGCAAGAAACTTATTCTTCGTTTGACAGATTTCAATCTTGTAGTTTATGAATTTCTACAACCAATAAGGCAATCAAATTCAGTTTTCAAACATGGATATGATCTAAAATTTCTAAGCAATGTAACTGTATTGGATTAAAATCATGGTAAATATTCTGGTGTTTTGGAAGGAACTTGATTTATATTTGTTAATGGAACTGAATACTATGGATTTCAAATACGCACATTTTGAAAATATAGAATTTCATATCTTATGTTCAAATATTGAGGTACTTTCAGAAGAATTTGAAATCCAAGGATTTCGAACCTCAACATGTTTGACACTGAAATTTCCTCATACACTCTGATGTAGTTAGAATTAGTATGGTTTTTATGTTTAAGTACCATAAGAGTTTTTTTTTTGATTGGCACCCGGGTGTTCGGATTAAAACCCGACAAATGCCCAGAGGTGCATAGGCCCTCGATAAGGAGTTTCCCGCAAATGCATCACAGTTAATTCAAAAGGTTTTCCTTAGTCCAATGACCCCAAAAAATTGTTCGCACCTAAGAGGTTTCGATCCTTGAGAGAGCACACCCCTAAGACCCAAGGCCTTGCCACCAAGCCAACCACTTGGGATTCATAAGAGTTAGTTTTCTTTTATTCTATAAATAGGTGGCTACGGGTACTCAAAAAATGATGTCGTATGAGTACCAGGTACTTACCGGCTACGAAGCATGGACACTCCAAAATTGGTGCCATGGCGGTGTCTGACACGCGGACACGCCGGGATACGTACGGGACTTTAATTTAATGTTTTTTTTGAAAGGGGACACGGCGGGAACACACGTATCCACATCTGGACACGCTAGGGGACACGGCGGGGCTCTTTTCTGAATTTGTTATATGTATTTGGGGTCTAATATTTAAAAAGTAAAAACTGAGGAAGTTGAAATAGAGTGAACCTGCGAAGATCTTCTGAGTCGAAGCCCTCTCTCAGTCGAAGCCCGGAGTCGATCGAAGCTCTCTCTCAGTCGAAACCCTGCGAAGTAGATCGAAGCCCTCCGAAGTCGATCGAAGACCTCCGATTGAGTCGTCTCAGCCTTTGTTTCTGTCGATCCAGTCGTCTTCGACCTCCGATCCAGTCGACTTCGAATGTAAGCCCTCTGTCTCTTTCTCTTTCGCTCTCTCTCTCTCTCTCTCTCCCTCTCTCTGGTCTGTTTTCGACTGAGGGAGTCGAAATAACATTGATTTTTATTTTTTTATTTTTTTTTATACGTTTATATATATAGTGGTTGTCACACGCGATGTGTGTGTAATTCAAATAAATAAAATAAAATAAAATATTTATCATATATTGTGTGTTAGTAAAGTGGTAAGAGTCTTATTTTTTTGACATAAGTCTAAGGTTCAAATCTCATCCTCTCATTTATCTAATTTTTTTTATTTCAAATAAAAAGATAGACACGTGACAGTATAAGAAACAAAGGTTTCAAGACACCTTAAGAGGTGTACACTTTGTAATAGTATAGATAGATAGATAGATGTAAGAGTTGTTTTAATTTTTATTTATTTATAGGTTTATATATAAGTTTTTTTGATTTTTATTTCTTTATCTCTTTATATATAAATTTATATATATGTAAGATTTTTAATTTTTTTTTTGTAATTATATTTTTATATATCTAAAATTGTAGTTTTTTAAAAAAAATTTAATTATAGGTTTATATATATATACAGTATGTAAACTTTTTTTTTTTTTTTTTAATCCTTCTCATGTTAATGTTAATTAATTAATAGGAAAAATGTCTAGTTCATTTATTGTTAGATGTTGGATGTTGAATCTTTTGCCTCTCTTAGGGTTGGTTTGGGAAGTGGGTTGACTTTTTAGTTTTTTGGCTTTTTGGGCTATTTTAGCCTGGGTTAAAAAACTTGGTTTGGAAAGGATTTTTTGTCTTTTTGACTTTTTTGGTTTTTTTTTGTGAGAAAAGAGTGTAATGATTATAGGTTGGATGTAATATTTTATTTTTTTGGCTAAAATAGCCTATTTTGTCTTTTGTAGCTAAAATAGCCAAAAAAGCCCAATCTAGCTCTTCCCAAACGGAGCCTTATATTTATTGAATTAATGTTACTATATTAGTGTTTGTTAATTTTAATTTAGAATGAATGTAACATAAATCTATATCACACATAAAAATATATAAAAATAAAAAAATAAAAATTCGCCATGTCCCCCGCCGTATCCATGTTCCCATTTTTTGGAAATTGGCGTGTCCCGTGTCAGTGTCAGTGTCAGTGTCAGTGTCCGTGTCCGTATCCGTGTCCGTGTTTCATAGCTTACCGAGTGTGGGTATGTATATCGATACGGCAGTATTATATGCGTTAGATAGTACATGTTTACAAATAGAACATAATGTATACAAAATGACTTCAAGAAACCAAGTTAGAACAGATTTGCTATCAGTGTGGCACAGTATCTTTTATAATAATAATATGACCTAAAATTTCTGATCAATGTAACTGTGTTGGAATCAGACTAATAATAATAACAAATGGGTAAAAACGAATTGGCATTCTTAAATGGAAGGTATATGAACAGGGAAGAATATACATACTAAGCACTCGAAGCATCTTCAAATCAAATTTCTTTGCCAGAGCCTCATGCCCAATTACTTTTGCCCGTCGGAGAACTAGCATTTTTAAGCTACTCAGCATGTCCTGACAATATAAGGAACATATAATGGATACATAAAAACACTATGAAGAATACAAAGGAGTTGCAATTTTCATTTTTGTGGGACAATGGAGTAAAGTAAGTTTTACACGTACAAGCTCTGACTCAGATAGGGAACAGAGCCAACAAACATCTTCAATTCGGTTATCTTGCAAAAGATCTTCTTCAGCCATGCAAGAAACTTATTCTTCGTTTGACAGATTTCAATCTTGTAGTTTATGAATTTCTACAACCAATAAGGCAATCAAATTCAGTTTTCAAACATGGATATGATCTAAAATTTCTAAGCAATGTAACTGTATTGGATTAAAATCATGGTAAATATTCTGGTGTTTTTGAAGGAACTTGATTTATATTTGTTAATGGAACTGAATACTATGGATTTCAAATACGCACATTTTGAAAATATAGAATTTCATATCTTATGTTCAAATATTCAGGTACTTTCGGAAGAATTTGAAATCCAAGGATTTCGAACCTCAACATGTCTGACACTGAAATTTCCTCATACACTCTGATGTAGTTAGAATTAGTATGGTTTTTATGTTTAAGTACCATAAGAGTTTTTTTTTTGATTGGCACCCGGGTGTTCGGATTAAAACCCGACAAATGCCCAGAGGTGCATAGGCCCTCGATAAGGAGTTTCCCGCAAATGCATCACAGTTAATTCAAAAGGTTTTCCTTAGTCCGATGGCCCCAAGAAATTGTTAGCACCTAAGAGGTTTCGATCCTTGAGAGAGCACACCCCAAGACCCAAGGCCTTGCCACCAGGCCAACCACTTGGGGTTCATAAGAGTTAGTTTTCTTTTATTCTATAAATAGGTGGCTACGGGTACTCCAAAAATCGTGTCGTATGAGTATCGGGTACTTACCGGCTATGAAGCATGGACACTCCAAAATTGGTGCCGTGGTGGTGTCCGACCGCGTGGCGTGTCCCTTTAATTTAATGTTTTTTTTTGAAAGAGGACATGGCTGGGACATGGCAGGGACACGCATGTCCACATCTGGACACGCTAGGGGACACGGCGGGGCTCTTTTCTGAATTTGTTAGATGTATTTGGGGTCAAAGTGTAATACTTTAAAAGTAAAAACTGAGGGAGTCAAAATAGAGTGAACCTGCGAAGACCTTTTGAGTCGAAGCCCTCTCTCAGTCGATCGAAGCTCTCTCTCTCAATCGAAGCCCGAAGTCGATCGAAGCTCTCTCTCAGTCGAAACCCTGCGAAGTAGATCGAAGCCCTCCGAAGTCGATCGAAGACCTCCGATCGAGTCGTCTTAGCCTCTGTTTCTGTCGATCCAGTCGTCTTCGACCTCCGATCCAGTCGACTTCGAAGGTAAGCCCTCTGTCTGTTTCTCTTTCGCGCTCTCTCTCTCTCTCTCTGGGGTCTGTTTTCGACTGAGGGAGTCGAAGGTAAGAGTTATTTTAATTTTTATTTATTTACAGGTTTATATATAAGTTATTTTGATTTTTATTTCTTTATCCTTTTATATATAAATTTATATATATGTAAGATTTTAAATTTTTTTTTTTTGTAATTATATGTTTATATATCTAAAACTGTAGTTTTTTTAAAAAAAAAATTAATTATAGGTTTATATATATATACAGTATGTAAACTTTTTTTTTTTTTAATCCTTCTCATGTTAATGTTAAGGAATTAATAGAAAAAATGTCTAGTTCATTTATTGTTGGATGTTGGATGTTGAATCTTTTGCCTCTCTTATATTTATTGAATTAATGTTACTATATTAGTGTTTGTTAATTTTGATTTAGAATGAATGTAATATGAATCTATATAACACATAAAAATATATAAAAATAAAAAAATAAAAATTCGCCGTGTCCCCCGCCGTGTCCGTGTCTCCATTTTTTTGGAAATTGCCGTGTCCCGTCACGTGTTAGTGTCCATATCCGTATCCGTGTCCGTGTCTGTGCTTCATAGCTTACCGGGTGTGGGTATGTATATCAATACGGCAGTATGTGTACTGAGTACGCCAAATACATGCAAGGATGGCAAATACATTTGGACACGGCATGGGTACGGGTACAGTACCGTTACGGCAAGGTGATTTTTTTTTTTTTGCAACTGCTAGAATTTGTTGCAGCTTTTATTATTCTTCTTTAGTTTTGAAAATATCAAGTAATTTATTTTCAATACCCCTTACCCATGAGTCATGATTTTGCTTTCTTTTGCATCCTGTTTTAGACAATCAAAAAAAAAAAATTATATAACTTCTTAGACAATCTGTTCTCTTTTTAGTTTTGATATTGAAACTTTGATTTGTATGTTAAATGTTTAGTTATAAATTTAAAAAAATAATAATAAAAAAAAATTAGAAAAATTGACGTACTCCAACCGTACACATATCCTACTTTTTTAAGAATTTGCCCTATCGACATACCCATGTCGTACCTTTACCCGTATCTGTACCCATACCCGTGCTTCATAGATAGGTGGTTAGGCTGTTCTAGGATTCAGTTTTGATATTTTGGAGATTGTATTTTCAGAGCATAGTGCTCTTTGTGTAGTATCTATGTTTCGAGATTTTCTCTCTAATGAAATCCCTTTTCCTAAAATGGTTTCATGATTTTGGTATCAGAGCTTAGGGCTTGGTTCCTATTTTTCTAGATTTGAATTGATTCATAGATTTTAGAATTAATTTGTGTGCTCTAGCTTGTGCAACAGTCTGTTTGTTTGTTTATTGATTCAACATTAGTCCTTGATTTCGCAGAGTTCTGGAATCAAGTTTTGGACCCCCTCTCGACAGAATGACGGTAGTTGATTCATCACCTAATTCAACACTGTATGATTTCTAAATGCTTTGGAAGAGAAGAACGTACCTGATTCCAACCTCCGTTCAATCCGACTGCCAACTAATCATTCTACTTTGCGATCGAGACGATGCTCAAAGAAATTTGAAAGGCGGCATGATCCTATGCGATGAACCTCATAGTAGTATGGTATTGTTTTGGATCAATCATTTTGATTGGATGGATAGTCTATTAAATGATAATGGTAATTTGGTACAAGAGTAAGATCCTGTTTGTTTTTAGAGAAATTATGTGCAGGTGTGAGATGAGGAAAAAAATAAACACATGTAGGGGTACAAGTAACACTTAAACCTTACCACTTTTCATTTGCACCCTACACAGACACACTTACCCCCTCCATATATGTTAATAATTTTTTTCTCAATGTGTTAATATTTTTAATTCTCCTCAGCAGAAGAACTATTTCAAACACAAAAGGGAAAATCACAATATATGTCCAAATAATAGGGGTCCATTCCATTGGATTTTCAAAATTTGAACCTGAGTTCCACAAGCCCAGGCAAAATAAATATAAATAAATAAATTAAAACCACACCTATCTGTGATCTGTGAGTATAAAACTATAGGTTGCGCAACTTACCAAATGAATTGTATTCTCTCATTCCTCAAATTTCATTTTTCCTTTCTACAATTTTCTCATACACCAAACAGAGACCAAATATAAATCATTTAAAAAGAAAACAAAAAAAGCTACACTGAGACTGAGAGAGAAGAATAAAATCGCCGTTAGGAGAGTCGGTACCTGGAGCTGGACTGTGGAGTGCCGTGGAGCTACAAAATGCGGCCGAAAGAAAAAGCCACACTGGAGTGATGGAGGCCGTAGAGAACACTTCTCAGTCTCTGTCTCGTCGACAGCTAGTACGACTCGAACGCTGTACAAAGCGTCGTCCGCTGTCGATCAGAACTCCAGATCGTATAGAGGATTGTTGCCGGAATCTCAGATCTGTGTCGGGCAACGGCGGCGTCGTCGTGGTGTCGTCGTCGGAGATGAAGAGAGAGAGAGAGAGAGAGAGAGAGAGAGAAACATGAGCGTTAGGGTTTGGTTTTGTACTGTTTGGTTGGACGGATTAGGATTCATATCCGGTGTGTGGATGAAATATTGCCTCGTTTGGTTCAAAAATTTTGTATGAATTATTAATTTCAAACATAGGATTGTTTTATCCCCATGCGAGGTAGGATACAAATCTTAGGATAATTAGCATAACTCATCTCATAAAATTACATAGCAAAATTATATATTTAACCTTCTACTATTTGGTTTCATTTTAAAAATAAAATTTATTTATTAAATTATTTATACTTAGTAAAGTATAAATAATTATTTATTTTAATAATTATATTGTCTTAATTATATGTAGAAAAGTAAAATAAAATTTAAAAATCTCAAAAATTAAAATAAATTTATGGATTTTTATTAATATTCTATTTATTTAATTTTTAAAAATTTCTAATAAAAAATTAAATAAAATTTATAAGTCGATTTAATATTTTTATTATTTAGTAAACAATTCAAAAGGACAAAATAGGCTTTTGAGCATTTATCCTTCTCTATAATACCTCAAATAAATATAAGATTCAATAGAATAGTCTAATCCAAATATCTAATATCATAACTAAACAAATATAAAATATAAATCTAATCCAACCAAATAATCTGGAGACAATGTATCTCAATGCCAATAATCCGGTGGATTATGATCCCTCATTATCCAACCCGTCTAAACAAACGCACCCATATATATAAAAAGGTTAGTGTGGTTATTTTACATGAAGTTGTCAAATACTTTAAGCAAAGAAAATTTAAATTTAAATTTTGAAAGTCAATACCCTTGTTTATTTTATTCCTCAATTTATAAACAATAATTTAATACAAAAATAATTTTAAATAGTAAAACATAATATTTATATAAATATATTCAAATAATATATATACATATATATCTTTCTAAAAAATATTTTTTAATATTAAAAACAAGGTCATTTATGAAATTTCATATTTTAATCACAACACATAATGACAAAATAAATGTAAAAAAAAATTACGAGTTCTATTTGTGTCATCAAACAAATATAATTTTTTTAATTCTCTCACTCAATCATACTATACTTCATTAACAATCTCACAATAATAATCCTATCCAATCTAACTCTAAAAACAACGCTGATTCTCCGGTCTATAATTTGGATTGGTGGCATTATTTAGGCTCATAAAACTCATCATGGATATCGTTTCAATGATACGAATCATTTATTTTATCGGATATTTCATGTATTTCATTCAATAAAAAAAAAATTGATCTGTTCGATGATTGTAGCGTATTCAATTTAGGGTAAACGACCAATATGTCTTAATAGTTTGACTTAATTTCCATCAAGTCTTATTGAAAATAAATCCTAGTAAAATCGTCGCTAAAAATATATTATTTTTTTTGACGATTCTTTACATATGTTGCTAAAAATTAAAAATTAGTGATTTTGTTGTCACGATTTTTATAAATTCTCGCTAAAAATTATAATTAGTGACATTTTTTCGTAACAAATTTTTTAAACTGTCGCTAAAAGTTGAAAAATTAGTGATGCTTTTTGTAACGATTTTTTTAAACTGTCACTAAAACTTATAATTAGTGACATTTTTTTGACAATTTTCAAACTAATGCAAAAAATTAACATTTAGTAACATTTTTTTAATAGTATTTGATGAAAAATGTCATTAATTATCATAGGACCTATTGGACAATAAGTCTACTTATTAGGACCAACGCGTAAGTACTTCAATTTATCCCATTTGTCACTAAAAAAATATGTAGTTTATTTTTAAAAATACAATTGTCATCTATGTTTTTTTTTTTGTAACAATGACGATAAATTAAATAAGTGATGATTATTAAATCGACCTAAATTTTATTTTTTTGTGAATAAAATACACAAAATGCCTAATAAAATAAAAATTCAAATCATTAAAACGAGACTCATATAAGTCCAAACAACACCCTTCAATTTATTTCATTTCTCACTAAAAAAATATATAGTTTATTTTTAAAAACACAATTATCATCTTTCTTCTTCTTCTTTTTTGTTGTAACAAAAACGATAAATTAAATAGGTTATGATTATTGAATAGACCAAAATTTTATTTTTTGTGAATGAAATACACAAAATACCTGATAAAATGAAAATTCAAATCATTAAAACGAGACTCATATAAGTCCAAACAACACTCTCCAATTCAGATTATGAATGGAGGAGGATCCTCTTTCAAAATTTATATAGTATTTTTGATTTTTTAAATTACAATTAACATTAAGTTTTAAGAAAAAGAAAAAAAGAAAATGTGTTGTGTCACTTTCACTTTCTATCAAATTTATTTATTTTTTATTATTATTATTATTATTTTTTTCTAGGGAGACTTATTTATAAATCCTTTCTCAGACACTTATGGTAGGTTAAGCCCTAAGTAAAAACTTATATTCTCATAAGTCCTGTACGGGGAGCAAATATTCAAGCAAGCCCGTATTCCTTTCTTCCAACCTCTGTTTCTATCCGATCACCTGCGTGCACAACAGCAGTGAGCTACCCGGCGGTGTGTGGCCGGAAAACCCCTCCGACGACCAAGTTAGCACACACCTGAAGATAGAAAGAGTGAGGAGAGAGTTGAGTGTAAGTGTTTCTCTTACCAAATGTTCATCTCCATCAGCATGGGGGGCGCAGACTTGCTTATATACCTTCTGCGCCCCAAATCCACCCACACTCGTCTCTCGACATGTGGTGCTGCTATCCCATCTGTCAGTACAAATCTTGCTGAACATCACCTAACCCGACTGCCAGCCCACTGTATTGGGAGCTCGGCAGCCGGGCTGTAGCATCTCAACTGTCAACGGCCATGCTGCGATTCATGCCCAGGTGCCCCCAACAACCGAGCTCCTTTCTAGCCATGCTCGATTGCATTCCGGCGAAGCCAAGCTTGAGATTAGTCATACCGGTCAACCAAAGTCCTTCCTGTCGAGCTTCAAGCATGAGCCTTCACGCCGAGCTATGGATGCGTGGTTTCCAACCGCGCAACGCATAAACCGTGGAACCCTTACTTGACCGGCCTCCATGCCGACAAGGTGAAGTAGCTTGGTTCCACATGCCCTTGCCATTGCCGAGCAAAAATCACTTCTGGGTGGACCCGGGATACCACGGCCCAAATGTGTTCGGCCCACAATTTGCCTGGTATTACTATGGCCCAATCCAGACCATATTTTTCCCTCTCAATTGCCCCTTAATTCCGTCTGCGCTAGCGTGACCGGGTTTACCTGTTCCGACCGGGATGAACTCTTCCTCGGTTCATAATTTGCAAGAGGCAAAATGGGATAATTTCCGCGCTCGGTTCCTTGTCTTGCTCGGTCGACGCTTCGTCTGGCCTTCTTGTCTCTTCAATTCTGACGCTGCCATTAATGGGGTCATGTGTCAATCTCCTATTGGTCCTCGAGCAGCCAACCCAGCCGTCCCCTGAAATTCGAATTTGGGCAGTTTTTCTTCCTCAATAAACATGCCCTTTCCCTCTTTGATTCATTCTCACTGACATTCCTCCGTTTCAAGCGTCTCTAAGCTCTTGCCCTTTCTCTCTCACCATCCCTGAACTCGCGTTCGAAGAAGGAGCCTCTGCCTTTCATTGGTAAGTCCCCCAGCCCTTGTTATTACTATTTTCATTTCGTATTTTTTTCTTTATGGCACCAAATCCGTAGGTTTTAGGGCCTCCCCCACCCAAAACCTTCGATGCCTCTTAGTTTCTTCGCTGTTCTTCAATTTCCCTGATGAACAATGAAGATCTGGGGTAGACCGGGCTCCAGATCTTCATCCGATCCCAAAAATCATTTAGACCGAGCAAATCTTTAGTTTGTCCCAACCTTAGTAGAAACCGGGGTAGCAAAAAGGACTTGGCCGCTCGACCGGGCTAATCTCTGGTTCGCTTGAGCAACCGAGCTCCTTGGCTAGCCTTTATGACCGAGGTGGTTTGGCATAATCCATGACCGAGCTCAAGTCTAGCTCGTTTTGCGCGGCCGCGCTCCGACTTACAATTACCCTCTATTTTCCTGCAGAGTCCAAGGGGACCAAAGACCAATTCAGAGGCTCTCAAGGACCGAGAAGCCATTAATTCCCAGCCTGTGCCAAACCACCTCAGCCGAGCTAAATTAGTCGGCCACACATGGAGAAATTCCGCTTCCTTGTGGACACACCTGCTGCCTTGGCCGCCTTAAGGGAAGAATACAGTATCCCAACAGATGTCTTTAGAGCTCGCCGAGATAGAAACAACCCCTTGGGGCAGGCTTGACCAATGCCCCTTCACCGTGCTGTCAGTAATTGTCAGTAATTGAAGGAGGCCTCCGCTTCCCGGTCAACCTTTTGATGACCGAATTTCTGCGCCGTACCGGGCTAGCACCCACCCAAGTTTCGACCAATACTTACCGAATAATCAATGGCTTGCACGAGCTAAACAACCGGCTAGGAACAAACTTAGGTTTAGCTGAGATACTACAACAATACACCCTTGGGCACACCGGCGACGGCCTGGCCTATTATTTAAAAATAAGACCGGGCAAAGAGAAAATAGTGACCGGTACCCCAGACAAGGACTTACATAATGACAACTTCTTCTGGGTGTCTGGTAATTATGAAACAGCCGACGTACCGGGCTGGTTCATCAGCAAGAACTTTGGTTCTACATGTAAGCCGCGCTAATTTGCTCAGTTAATTTCCTGCCTTCAACATTCTGTACTTAACCATTTTTCCTGTTTCTTTTGCAGCAATTCAAGCCTTGCAATCCAACTACCAATATCCCAATGTAGAAGCCATCCGGACCGTGCTCCGTTACAGCCACCGAGATTGTAACGAATTGCTCGGCTACACTCCAACCTACAGATACTCAGCTCCACGCCGGAGCAAAGTTACAGACTTTCTCCGTGCTCTAACACCTCTTCCAGACCCAACTCTACCGGACGTGCCGCTAATTCGGCTGACCGAAGAACAAAAGATGGCAAAACGAAGCCGCATCAAGAACCTCCTCACAGCAACCTCAGCCGAGATACCGAGCATCATCACCA